TGTACATGACATGGCAGATCCTAGATGTAAAGGTCTGAACAAGTGGATCTAAGGAATGTAGCTTGTTAGAATATTTTCCATGGAAATAGTGATAGAGTAGTAATAAACTTGTAACATTTTGTCTGTGGTAAAGAGGTTGTAGCATGGAAAATAATTAATCACTGACAAGGCAGGGTAACAGCTTTTGAACTCTGTCAAGACTGGAAAGTGAGAATTGGGTAGCTCCAGCCTTCATATAACAGCAATACTCCTTACCTAATTACTGTGACTTCCAAGTACAATTGGTAAGTAGATGGTGTAAAATAAGTCTCTGGTGATATCTGAATTCAAATGTTATTCCATGATGGTACCTTTATGATTAATGATGGTACCTTTTTAATTTGGATACAAAGACTAACCAGTAGGAATCATTCAAACTTAATAATTTGTTAGATGAGGCATTGTAAATTATTTGTCAAAGAAATTCAAACACTATTACATCTGATTCTATTGTTTGTAATTTAGTATTTAGAGATTAGTAGATAATTTTTTTTATTTATAAACTTGATTGAAAGAGCAGTGTTATCAATAGTTGCTCTTTTTTTTTTTTATTGCTTCCTATTTGTATCTTATGCTTGCTGTAAGGTACATGCACACATATATATGTGTGTTAAATCTTAGCTATTAGATAATATATAAGGAGTTGACCGTAGTTAGGATCACTCAGTCAATGCAAACAATCCTTTTTCTTAATATGTGCTTTGCCAGGGCTACATTTTGAATTCAAAGTTTTCCTTCTTCTTGACCGATTGCCACTCAAGGCTATAGAACCCAGTCTGTCCTGCTATTTACCCATAGCTAGGGAGAGAAGAAATGAATTTCCCAAGTGTATTATTAGCATATAAGTGAATGTAATGAATTCCAATGGAATTCGAACTTGGCTCTTGGATTTCTCAATCCAAGCTGCAATTCATTACTCTACTATGCCTCCTACAAATTTATTTAAATTCTATTATTTAAATTTGGATGTAAATTTGACAGAATGGTAAATATGTGACAATTTTGAAAAATCTTATCTTGATGTTTTGCTGATTTTGTTCTTTCATTTATCATTTTTTAGATCAGATTTTACTAATCTCAACTCAGTTTTTGTTGATATATTCATTTGTTTTAAGATTTTCCATATGCCACTTTGTTTCAAGAACAGGTGACATAACAAGGTGGGATACCATATATACTAAAGTATAGTGTGAGTTTTTATGATCAGTTGTTTTATACAAAAAATATGGAGCTGCACTATACACCTGTAATTTCTTTTTTTTTCTTAAGACATTAAAAATCAGGCATTTTCAGTGGCTGGTTGCACTATACACGGGTAAATTTTTTTTTTTTGGAGGGGGTTAAAATTCATGCATTTTTTGGTGACCATAACCTACCTGGTAGGCTTACATTTTCACAGTACCTTTGGGTAGATTTGATATAGAAAAAAACTATTAATTCTTCATTTATATGAGGTATTTGTTGGTTTTAAGTGGATGAGGTTTTGCTCTTCAAGTAACAATGAAAGGGAAGAAACTTCTGCCCCATAGGAGGTGGGCCCAGGTTAAAGGAGCTATCCTAGTCAGTCATGACCAAAGACAAAAATACAATATCTAAATCTTTTTATAAGATATTTACAGTAAATGGTTTTTCTCACCATTCTAGGGTAGCTTTGTATAAGAAACCATGAAGAACATTTATTTGCTATAAAATATGTCTGGGATGATGCCCAGTACTGCATTATTTGACTACAGTAGGCTTACTTGCTCAGAATGTGAGGGTCTCATTATACACAAGCTATATGAAAAAAATCAGGTTTTTCACAAAACAATTCAGGGGTCACACTATACATAAAGTAAGCTTATATACGAGTATATATGATATGTAAAATTTTAAATCAAATGAATAAAAATTGAGTAGAAATTAGTAAAATCTTATCTTTAAAATGATACTGTTAAAATAAAAGAAAAAAGTCCATCGCTATAATGATTATCATGAATGACTGTCTCACCAATGTAGATTTAGTTGAAATAAAATTTGTTTTTCTGATCATACAATTTGATCAGCAAAACATGTCATATGTGAAAAAAAGTTTTCAAAATTCTCATGCATTTACCATTTGATTGGATTTAGTGTCAGTTTAAATAGACACTTGTAGGAAATCATTTTAAAATTTTACTTATTAAACAGGTTACCATGCAGGGAAACTGTCAGAAATTATTTTCTTTTTCTTTTCAGAATCTACTTAATAAAACATGACCTTTTACAAAAATGATTAAATTGTATTTTTGTATGTTGATCTGAAATTATTGATAAAATTAATTAAATCTCTTACTAGCTCTTCTGAAATAATGTCCGTAAGAAATAGACTCATTATTTGATTGGATTTGAAATTAGAACTCTCATAGGCAAGACAGTGAGACTTGGACCATTATTAATGGTTTTATGAGAGATTTAAGGTCTTGAAATAGATTCATTAATTGATATTTGGTTACATTTTATTCAGAAGTTTTATTGTGGAAAAATATCAAGATATCTACATTAAAAATTTGGTATAAAATGAATTATGACATTTTATTTTTTTTCTCACTTCAGTCATGTATTACAAAAGAAACAGTAAAAAAATAGCTAAAAAAACAAACTTTGCAAATGTTATATAAAGAGAATTGAATATATGCAACTCTGCATCTCATACACAGTAACAATTATTATAAACAGGTTTTATTAAAATTAGCAGTTTTAGTATTTTTTTTATTTGGAGAGTCTGGTGGTGCTCATCTCCCAGAAACTTATCCTTATTAGCATCTATATTTAATTCTTTGTGTGGTAATTATCTATATACATACACACTTCCTATACTACAATAGTTGATACAAGGAGAAAAAAAAAACAAGAGTTTACATAGTTGTATACATAACTGTTTATATCTTGGTAAACTGACCTAAATATTCATTTGACAGTGTTAAATCAATGTTGGGAAATTATTCACATTTGACCTTTCACTTATCATGACTGAAAATGTAAAGTCCAGCTGGAACCCATGATTAGGATTCGGTTGGTTTTTATTTTCTTTATCCAAGTGTTCTGGAAATTTTTAGCAAAGCACAAAAATTGAATGGAAATTTTGTATTTCATGAATTTCTTCTTGACTATAAACATTGTAATTACCAGAAAATAAAATGTCATCAAATTTGTCAACATGATTGCAGCTGACTAGATTTGCTTGCCTCTTCCCTCACTTTATAAAAGAATTTTTTTGGTTATTGCTTCTTACTAAAACTTGTTTTAACTCACTAGCAACAAGCTAGACCCTTTGGTGATCACCCTCCTATCCAGACTACCAAAGCACTGAATACAATGAAATATTTGGATACTTTTTTGTTCTTAATATATGTTATATTGCTCAGTAACTACTGTTGTCAAGATCCTATAATTTACAAAAAGATACTAGCAGCACTCAGTTTGCCATATTGAGCTCTTAAATTGTAAAATCAACTCAAAATCAAATTAGCTGCTGGATAATACATAGAATCTATTGTTGAATGTGATTTTTCTATTTTGCTGAGTAAGCATGCAGAGCTGCAAAAGCCAATTATCAAGTTGAAAACAAATTTAAATTTTTCATCAAAATAACTAGTATATATAAGGCTTGATGATTGCATCTAGCATGAAACAGTCTGTTGCCTCTGAGTGTTGATTTCAAGGTTCACTTCATTATATATATATATATATATATATATAATATCATCAAATCCATAAATGGAAAGGATAATCCAATTAGGTCTTTTTAATATAAAATAGATCCATGAAGAGAGCTCAATGTATTTATGTACAAAGCAACATTAAAGAAAAAAAAAATAACACATCTTGACAAATCTGATAATAAATTTATTTCAGCAAGTAGGTTTTTAATATCTGCCTCACCAGACTGGAATAACAAAAATATATACACACACACACACTGAACTCTCCTGTTGTTTTTTGGCATATGAGGATCGAGCAGCTCAGTTCTTAGAGCCAACAGCCAGACTACCTGAACATATCATTTGATTATACTGGTTAAGGCTTGTGCAGAACCAAATACAATTTTTGGAAAAACTGAATACAGAGAACCTTGTGGTAGACAAGGTTCTCAAACAGCCCTCCACAGGTTTTGAATTCAAAGTTGTCCTTCTAGACCATTTGTCACCCAAGGTTATAGGACCCAGTCTGTCCTACTTGGGCAAGAAGAGATGGATCCATACCTTTCCCAAGGGTATTATCACATAAGTGAATATAATAAACTCTACTGGAATTTGAACTCTGCGCTCCAGTTCCTCAATCCAAGCCACTATCCATTACTCCACTGTGACACACACACACACACATATATATATAATATATATAATATATATATATTATATATATTATATATATATATATATATATATATATATATATATATATATATATATATATATATATACACACACACACACACACACAGAGCTGAGGATTAGGAAACCATGCCCAATTGTCCTGGTTTTGAATTCAGGGTTCTCCTTCTACTTGACTGGTTGCCAACCATGGCTAGAGAGCCCATGTTATTTAACTCCTAACCGGAAGAAGATAGATTCATACTTCATGAACACACCTGAAATTTGAACTTCTTTCTCCAATTTATCATTCTGAGCTGCCATCCATCATGCTACCTGTATATCCTTTGCCCATTGGAAAAAAAAATGACAGTGGTTCCAAAATTCTCTTCCAGCCATTACTCAAAAACTGGCTGCCCTCATCATAAAGATGAAGCTGTTGATCCCTTGGAGGGTTGTCATCACAGAAGTACCATTTACTCCAGTTTTGAAATCAGAGTAATTCTTTGACTAGACAGGCTGGCAACCAAGGTTAATGAGTTCTGTCTTCCTTCTTATATTTTTATCAATGAATAATTAAATTACATTCTTCCACCCACTATGAATTACTTTTTTTTTTCTCTTCAGGACTATGAACAAAAATGAATTGGATGTCAGTTATATTACATCAAGAGTGCTTGGTAAGACTACGAGTCTTTCATTATTTTTCTTAGTAACAATTCATGATTTTTTTTATTTTTTATTTTATTACAAGATTTCTAGTAATACAAGAAAGCAGTAAGAAATTCTTTGATAGTTGTGTCCATATAATTATCTGAAGTGTTTTTTTTTTTGTTTTTTTTTTTAGACTTATATTCTTTAATATCTGAAGTCACCTGTATATTTCTCTGTATTGTTAAGAGAACTTCTAGATTTTTTTTTTTTTTATCTCAGAAGCAAATATAACAACAATTGTCTTATGAAAACACTTAAATTTATTAAACAATATTTTTTATTTGTATGTGAAAAATTACACAATTTGTAGGCAATTTAAGTAACACATTCAAATATCATTTTGAATTTTCTCACTTGAAATTTTTTTGTACATAATCCATTTCAAATTTTTTTCACTCAATGACATGAAAATGATCTACACCTTAGAAAGATGGCTATTCTATTCTTGCTCTGTCTAGCCAAATGGCCATCTTGCTCTAATATAATTTTCTTATTCAAACATTGTGTACCATCTATTAAAATTTTATTAAGTGATAAAAAATATTGACCCTGTTTTTTTTCTTTCTTTTTACTTGGGATAATTAAAATGATTTTTTTTTTTCTATTCAATTAAGCAAATTATTATATTTTTGTTCCTTATTTCAAATAATAGAGGCAATTTGTTTGGACACTGTGTAATATATTAATATTTTATACAATATGTTGATTAGATTATTTGTCATGCAGTTATGCTATGCCTTTATTATCTTTATTATGACAGTCATATTTCTCTCCCTGGTGTTATTTTGCTAGTGATGTCTTTCCCTGCTGAGGGAGTTGAATCTGCTTTCCGAAACCACATTGATGATGTCCGTTACTTTCTTGAATCCAAACACCGGGGTTATTATGCAGTTTTTAATCTCTCTCAGCGCTGTTACCGTGCAGTCAAATTTGAAAACAGGGTGAGTCATTTTCAGCTTTTTTTATTTTTTCTTATTTTTTTTTTTAATGTTGTTTCTTTTGTTTTTCCAGTTGTTTTAATGTGTTACTTTAACTAAAGATAACATCAATTGTTTAATTTAAACTCCTCTCTCATTTATTTTTTTTTTTTTTTTTTTTGTCTTACTGGAACTCGGAATTAGAAGAACAAATACTTTAGAACCCCACCTCTGTAATCTGCAAGGGATTTTTTTTAATTTTATTTTTCAATATTAAAGTTCATGCAATATAAAGCTCGAGAGCCACTGAAAGTAGATGATTCCTGAATGATGTGTGTGACATGAGGTAGGTAGTGGCTATAAGGATAGATAACAATCAACTTGTATTGAAGACATTAGGATTGTTACGTTTCATATGTTTCTAAACTCCCAGTAGATATAGTACTGAACTCTATGCACTGCATTTTTTACCCTTATATATATATATATATATATATATACACACACACACCCTTTTATAGATTAGATTAATAAGAAATTAAGCAATAAAAATTAATAATAAAATGAAATAGTTCTAAATGATATACTGTAGTAAAAATTTTGGTCAATAGAAGATTAATTTTTACTGTTGTTCTTAGCATATAATTTTTTTTCTTTCTTTATTAAATAGAAAACTTTTCCTTTTCATTTAAAGGAAACACTTTGCAGCTTTTATTTGGCATGTTCGAAATGCAAGCATCAATACTTTTACACTGTCATGCAAAACTTGTAAATTTATTTATGGTATTGACCATGGTTAACTGAAACTATAGATAAAGAAAGGGAATTCTTTAAGGAATATTCAGTTATTTTATCATCCAGATATGAGAGCTGATAAAACAGTATATTGCTTGCTGTTTTATTATTAATATTATTTTCTTTTTACTATTTTAAAGTCGTAGGTTACATTCTTTTACTTAATTTTAGTCCAAGTAAAATCTACTGAGTCAGAAGCCTTTCTACAAAATCTAATAGCTATGTATTACCAGTATTCAGACTTTCAATTTTTCATTTATTCTATGTCTGTCAAATATTAAGTTTCCCTACCTGTTTCCCTCATAATTCTGTCCAATATGCTCCCCCGTTACTCAATTTGTTCCTTCTTCTCTTCTAACTTATTGTGCATTGTCACTCTGTCCTCTTCATAATTCAAATCACACCATAGTGCCTGGTAATATTTCCTTTGACTTGTCTATTAGGCACCAACCCCCAATTTAAAAGACTTCTTTCTATTACCAGAATACTCATTGGGATTTATTTTGCGATTTTCTTTGTGATGCTTCTTGGCATTAAATCTTTAGTCTTCCTATTGAAAATTGTGCTACTAAAGTTTCTTTGTGGGTGAAAGCCAGCATCAGGCTTTTGTGTCATCTTGTAAATATCAGATAAAGACACAATCTTCTACTTGATTCACACCTGTGCATCCAGATAATAATGCTTGGTGCCTATAAACATTTTTTTTTCACTTTAGATGCAATTTTTTTTTTTTTTTTTTTTTTTTTTTTTTTCATCATTTAGGTAGGATTTATTTTTCCAGAAGTAAAATTTATAGATATAAAGTGCCCCAAAATTAGAGGACTACCAAAAAATGGGTTCTTTTTTTGATCTGAATAACATTGGCTACACAATTGTGCATGAGAATATTTAGTGAGTCCCATAGAATGAGGTTTGAATTTGGAGAATCCAAATGGGTCGGTGAGTATTTTGTTGGAACAGACTCCACGCCCCACCATGAGAAAAATATTAAGCATAAAGAAGTGCAACTAGTTTACAACAAAATCTATATATCACATCTGTCAAGATAAATTCCAGTTTCATTAACAGCCCTTTTGAATTCCAGTAGAACACAGCCCACACCATTTACATTATTGTATTGGGATGCTATTTGATACAATATTTTCCTTTGTTGGATAGCTAATTTTTTCAGTTACCAGCAGTGCCTTCTTGCATCAGCTGTAGATGTCTGTAGCTTTTACATACCACTGATGTCTATAAAGAATTTTATATATTCCTGGTATACACTGTTGTAGTCTAAGAAAAACTTGTCACCTTAGAGAGTGCCATCAACCACTCTTTAGTCAAATGTTGTTAAATTCTGTCTGCATCACATAGTTGCCACAACTACACTACCTCTTTACTTATAAATACATCATCTAGTTGAGCCCATAATTGGGAGAGAGTAAAACCAACGGGTTTCTAATTTTTCAGTATCTTGGTTTGTTACAGCCTTTTATCTTTTCTGGATTATGCTCTAAGACTGCAGTTCATGAAAATGAAAAGATAATCTTAATTACAAAATTAATAATATTACCATTAGTTTTGACTTTCTAAATTTAGTTGAAGATCCCAAGGACAAGGGGACTCTAGGATAATGAATAGCTGGAGTTACCCTCTTATTATTTGAATATAAATAAATTTTAACTTTTTTTTTTCTTTTATAAAGATTTATATGGAGCTATAATCCAACTAATCCATATTTCAGGATATTTGTTTGTTAAATACCTTTTGTGACAAAATGAAATCTCTTAATTGGAAAACAATAAATATGTTTGAATACACACACACACACATATATATATATATATATATATATATATATGTGTGTGTGTATGTATATGTGTGTGAACCTGAGAAGTTGTGTTCTTTAAACATTATAACATTATATAGGAAGGCTGACCATTTTTCTTTTAAGTAATCTCTGTATAAAACTATGTATTTTTCCTTCATTTGTTAATAACAGATTTGTACTTTTTTTTTTTTTTTTTTTTTTTTTTTTTTTTCTTCAGGTCTCCGAATTGGGCTGGCCTACAAAGAGAGCTCCCACTTTGGCAAGCCTTTTTGAAACCTGCAAGAGTCTTTATAATTGGTTGCGTCAAAACCCTAAAAATATGTGTGTTATACATTGTTTGGTAAGTGACAATTCTTTCACTGTTGCTTTGGCCAGGAAATTGTTGTTTTGATTTGGTGGGGGTTTGAGTCTAACAACAACCAATTAATAGTGTACCTATGAAGTCTATAATGGCATGTACCTCAAATGTTCTGTTTGTGTCTAAGTATTCAGAATTGCATATCCTTGCATTATCTGCCATTTTGATTTTGTCTTTTAATTACAAATGCATAAAATATAGAAAGAGACAAATGAAGATTATTTCTGTAATTTTTTTTGTGATCATGGCTCTCTACAGCCTCCTTTTTCTTTATTATCTGTGAATTGCCATACTTTCTTGGGTAAGATAATAGTGGTTTCTTGTTGTCTACATCAGTTTGGAATTCACTTTCCCTTACCCTAGATTGGATGTCAACCAAAGTTAGAGAACCAAGTTTATTCTGCTTTTTAACCCATAGCTAGTAGGAGAAATTAATTAATACCTTTCCCAAGGGCATTATTGCAAAAGTGAATGCAATAGACTAGACTGCAATTTGATGGGAGTTGAGGCATTTCTTCTCCTTTTTTTTTTTTTTTTCTCTTTCAAAATCACATTGCTTGCTAAAAACTAAAGAGTGATATTCTGAGAGTTGAGATATAAAAACACACACACAGGCACACACACACAGAGCAACAAAAGTTGAGATGAAACAAATAGTTGTTAAAAATTTATTAAAAATATCAATGTCTTCCAGTTTTCATAATTGGAAATGGCAATTCTTTGTAAGCTACAACTCCCATACTTGGGAAGCCTCATTTTCTATGGCAGTTGTTTTACCAGTTAGACCAACCAACAGACATTATTCAAATCCAACTATATAGCTGTATTCCCTACTTCTCTGAGCATCAATACACTACCAACTTTGTTTACATACACTAGTAGTATTAGATGTAACAGTACCTCATTTCAGTTTTAAAAAGTATGACAGGCAATTTTTATATAACTGAGATGGAATGATTAGTTTTAATAGTGAATTATAATAATTCATTCTATCCCTGCTTAAAATTTTCTTGCATTGGTTCATAGTTAGCAATGATAATAAAAATGTTATACTTTTTATTTATTTATTTTATTTTTTATTTTATTTTTTACAGTAAGGTTCACTCTTTGCAAGACCCAGGAGCCACTTATGTGGGTTACATTAAGGGGTAATTAGTTTATAGGGATAGGAAGGGAAAAATAACAGTTAATTCTAAATCTGAATAGATTAAGATTGTAATGATCAGGGAAACATCCTCTACAGGGCAGTGGTTTACAGGAAGAAGCTGTTTGAGTGGAATTTCTCAATAATGGAATACAGAGGGAATGTGGGTGGTTTGCTACTATGTAAGTGGCATAGCCATGAAGGTTGAACCTGGTGGAACCAAGGAATGCAGTTCATCTGAGCACTTTCCATGGTAGTTATAATAGAGCAGTGAGAGACTCACCACATCCCACCTGTGAGAGAGAGAGGTTAGAGAGTGGAAAATAATTTTTCTCTAACAAGGACTTGGAGATGCTTTTGAATTCTATCAAGACCAGAAAGTAAGGACTGGGCAGCTCTTGCCCAAATATGGCAACAGTACTCCATTTTCAGCCTGATCTGGCTCTTTTAAAAGTAGCAGATAGCAGGTGGAGTCAAGTATGAATTGTTTGAAGAAACTGGTCCAACAAAATTAATGAAAACCATTCTTTCTGTATGTATTACCTTGGATGTTTTTTTTTTTTTTATTCTCTACTCCCAGCAAAATATCAAAGCAGAATTAGCATTTGAAACCAATACAACATGAATATTTTCACCTTGACTCACTTTTTGTTATATTAGCTTATCTTTCTCTGTACCTTCATTCTCCTCATACATACATAAAGAATATGAGAAAAAGAAAAACTATTAAGGATAGAGAACAATAAAAGAACAAGAATTAAGAAGACAGAAGATAGCAATTAACATTGCATTTAAATTTTGAAAATCAGAATTGACAGGAAAGCAAGAGGCTGGAAGAGAGTTCCTCAAGTGAAAAGTGCAAGAAAAGAAACTGTTAGCATAGAACTTACCTGTTTCCAGACTTTACTGGGTTTTTATGATTTAATTCTCTTTTCTCCATCTGCAGCGATTTTCCTCTGCCGTTGACTGGCTGTAAATGCTCAATTTAGGACCCCTGTGATTATGGGAAAAGCAGAAGAGTGTATATGTGTCACAATTGTATACTGCTAGAATCTAAGACTCCTTCAGATTTTATAAGGTAGCTCTGCTAAGCTTATTGATTGAAGATTTTACAGGCTACAGATTTAAGGAATTTTTTAGTATCTGAAGTAATCTGCTTATTGTAGAAAAGGTAAGCTTGAAAGAATGTCAGACTTACATTGTAGAAATTTTTTATTTTATTCTGTTATAGTAGCCAGTCAATCAACGGGGGAGTTACAGTGGAGAAGATTGTATTAACTGCTAAATTAATTTTTCCAGTTTCTTGCAAGTTGGGTGTGCAAAATATTCACAAAGAGCTACTTTTACATCAGCATACAAAGCCTGAGTGTCAGCCACAAATAGAATGTGGACACAATTGAGAATCAATAATTACACTGTTAGCCAATCCTATTGCAAGTGTGCCTGGGGCCAAGTTTGGATGTTCTTTATATTTTTTGAGAGTTATGCTTTGACCATACCTCAGAACATCTGGTTCCTGATTTCTTTGAAATTCTAAGATTAGATAATTGATATATGAGCATCATATTGTTAAATAATCACACTTCCTCAAAAACACATTTCTCTTTTCAGTGTCAGTCACTATTTATACCTTTGCTTCATTTAGTTATTTCTTTTTCTTAATTCTATCTGAGGAATGTTTTTTTTTCTCAAAGTTTAAACAAACCTTTTCTGGTACCTGAAATTTTGAGGATGTTTTCACAGCCTCTTTGTTTTAAGGAAAATACTTTCTTAGTAAATTTTTTTTTTTGTTTATTTTTTTCACAGCTCAGCATGTTCTTTTAAAACAATCTATTTAACATTTTCAAATTGCCTGTGTTTCAGTTAAAAAAAAAAAAGAAAAAAAAAGATGCCTTCAAGAAACTAAGCAAAGTACAAGAAATGGAAAGTTTTGTTAGAAGCAAAGAAAAACTGTTATATAATGTCAACACTCCTATATGACAGTGAATGCTGAACCATTTTTTTTATTTTAGGGAACATATGATAGATTGATAAGCAAAGTGATCAACCAGTTCAAAGCCACAATCATCCACAGCAGCCATTAAAAGCAAAGACTTGTGTGCTGGAACATTGTGCTGATGAAACAAGATCCCTCTCATCAGTTTTCCTGGGTGTTTGGTCTTGATAGCCTTTCGTAACTGCCTCACCAAGTTGGCATAGTACTCTCCATTGATGATGTGGCCTTTTTGAAGATAGTCAAGAAACAATGCCTTTTGTATTTCAAAAAACTAAGGCCATCACTTCCTCTGCAGATGAAACGACCTTAGCCTTCTTTGGAGGAGAAGTGTGGCGGGGGGTTCCACTGCATGAATTCTCTCTTTGTCTCTGGCTCAAAGTAATGAATTCACCTTGAGTTAGGAAATCTTTAAGGAAACTGGCTGGATCTGCCTCAAACAATGTTAACTTTTCCCATGATATGATCAGCCTGTTCTGCACATTTGATCAGATATCAGAAGATATGAAACCCACCAATGAGAAACTTTCATCATGCCATTTGTTGTGCAGAATGTTCTCAAATCTCTCACGAGATATGCTAATAGCATTGGTTATTTGATTTAGAGTCAATCACCTGTCATCCATCACCATGTGGTGAACATGATCAATGTTTTCCTCGGTAATGGTAGTCGCAGGATGTCCAAACCTTGGATCATTTTCAACACACTGCCTTTCCCTCCTAAATTCAGTTGCCCACTTTTGCATTTTTGATGAAGCTGAGGCATCACTCCCTAATCTAGCAACCCTGTCAGCATGAATGTCCTTGGGGGCTAAGCCTATTTTTCTGCAGGTACTTGATAATGCCAAATTTTTCCATTTTTAAGTGAAGTCACTAATTGTTACTTTTGAAGTTTTCTTTGAACAGTCAGATGTCTTTTTAACTGGAAAAAAACAATACAGCTATTAATAAAAAGAGTTGAAATTAATGCATGCAAGATTTCACAGCTGTAACATCACTCCTTCATAGTCAGCCTATGAACTTTTCAGCCGACCATTGTAATAATGTCTTAGAGAATTTACCAGAGTATATTAAGGGCAAGAGGAACAGAGGAAAGTAGTGGGCCACAAACCTGATGAGCTTCTGCAAATTCATGGAAGAATGTGTGGGGAGGCAGGAGACTTGACAAATGTTGCTAAGGGCTAAAGGAGATATATGAAGTCGTGGAGAGCCATGATCAGCCATGTTCTGAAAGGACATTGTACAGGAACAAAGAATGATTTGGAAAAATTCTACAAATAAAAATATAGCAAAACAAGTAGATTTGAGATTTTATTTAATATCTAATAGCTAAACAATTCACACTCGTATACACTCCTTATATATTCCATAACATTTCATGACATTGTTAATTATGGCTCTCCTGAACTTCCTGTCTTTTATTGCAGTAAGTAACATTTGATTATTAGAAACAAGGAAAAGAGTGTTGAACTATTATGTAATATTAATCCTCTTGTATGGCAGTGAATGCTGGACAGTTTCCTCACAGATGAAGAGAAGATTTAAGGCAACAGAAATGTGGTTCTACAGTAAGATGCTGAGAATGACATGGAAATCTTAAGAAAAATCGAAACAAAAAGGAAACTCAGAACCAGAAAGTGACAGCTGAAAATTTCTTGGACACACAAGGAAGGAAGACTTGGAGAATTTGATACTCACAGGATATATCAAAGGCAAAGGGAACAGTGAGCCACCTACCTGATGAGCTTGTATGACTGGATGGCAGAACAAGTAGTGGGAAAGATGGTAAAATAAGCATTACTAAGAACTACAAAGGAAAGGAAGATGTGAAGAGCCATGATTACCCATGTTCTGAAGATTCACTTCTCCTAGAACAACAACATGCATCAATCCCTTCCAACTGATAATATTGAATCTTGTCAACTTGTCTCGGCCTTTTGCTGATTATTTTTCAGATTTTATTTATTTTTTTTTTTTAATTTCAATGCTGCCTTAAATATACATCTCTCTTTCCTTGCAGGATGGTAAATCTGTATCAGCTACTGCAGTTTGTGCTTTCCTTGTGTTTTGCAATCTTTGTAAATCTGTCCAAGATGCTTCTTGTTTGTTCACGGCAAAACGAGGCTCTCCAAATCTGACTGCGTCCCAGCAAAGGTTTGTTTAATCACATTATGCATTTGATAAGCATTAATTAGTCATCTGGATTACATGATTGTCTCCCTTTTACAACATATGCAAAATATATAATGTTTAGAAGATTAAATCCATAGAATAAATGAAAAAGGAATTTTTCTTAAAGCCAACCTAGATTTTAATAACATGAGTCACTGAATCTTAGTGGCCAAGTGAAGGGATAAGTTTCAATACACTGAAAAATCAACTATTCCATATCAGATTTTTGACAATTTTAATCCTCTGTGGCCACAATAAAACAGCATGTCAAAAGGTCAGTTTTTCCTTTGACACCACCATTATTTTAACTACCTTCACTCCCTCAGTAATGTTTGTAGTTTTATATAGCCATGATTTGAATTTTAATAAAAGCCAAACATTTGAAAGTGAATTTATACATTTTCTTTGTTCTTATCTAAAGTTTGAAACACTTTTTAAAAGGAATAAAAGGAATTTACTTTCATAGTTAGTGCTATTGGTGGTTACATATGGTTTAATATATAAAGACTTTTTCAATTTTTTAATTGAAATAGTCTCAATAAAAATACATGAAGAATACAAATCTTGGCATTTTACTTCATTATAACATTCTCAAAACAAATGATGCTAACCTCAGCATTTTATTTGTTTTCATTACAGAAATAACTTATAAGTAAAAAGTGCAGTCCATGATTTGGTTTTTGTTATTCATATATTTTTCTTTCTTTTCAGATATGTACAATATGTAGCTGATATTGTCAGTGATACACCTGTGATTCCTCATAATAAGCCTGTCCTACTGGTCTCTTTAACAATGTCCCCAATTCCTCTATTCAATAAGATAAAGTAAGTCCACTTTTATATGAAATTTGTTTTCGTTAATTACCAATTAACCAATTAAATTTTTCAGAACCAAGGAGTTTGAACATTGGTTAATTTGTAAAACGTACCTTGCATTATTCCTGTATTTATTTTTGAATTAATTTTAGATGGTCATCTCAACTCTATCTATATATCTCCAGGTAAGATGAGAACAAATAGAGTATAATTACACTGTCTGTAACATTCAATTTAAAAGTGGGCTCAATGCAGAGTAGAGCTAAATATTTATTATCAGAGATTAGAAAAAAAAAAAACTAGTTAAAAATCGCTACACAATAGTGTTTCAACACTACAAATCTGTCTCCTTGGGCAGTGGTAGGTGAGTGAACAATTAATTTCAAAAGTAGAATACTTCCTCTTTTTTGAATGAGAAAGAGAAAACAAAAAAAAAGCAGAATTAAAATGAGGCTTGTGGGTTTACCATGATTAACCAATCAAATATGAGGCCTGTGCTAAAATCATGACATGAAGTTGTCTACATAGAATAGACTAGACAGTTTCATTTGCAACTGATAGAAATGATTACATTATTTCATAAAATATAGAGAAGTATGACATTCAACTTTCACAGGGAATTAAGGGAAAAGGGGTTGGGGGATAATCTAGCATAATGTTAACTAACTATATGCTCGGTCATTTTCCTACATAGAATTTTGTTGTTAAAAGGCTTCTTTAAGAAACCAGTAAAAAAAAAAAAATAATCATAAATTCAAATCTACTTTGTTAAATTAATATGCAACTGTTAAGTAAAAACCATCCATATGTTAATAATACAAACTAATCAATATAAGATGTTAATAATATTAACTACTATCTAATATATATATATATATATATAATCATTGTCAGTATAGTGTAACATATAGGAAAGGTAAAATGTTATTTGTTTTGTAAGTGAATTCTGTCATGTTTGACTTTGTTTAGTTTATCTACAAGGTCAGGTAATGTAGTTTTGCAGGGATATATTAATAGTGCCATCAATACATCTGAAAAATTATATATATATATTTTTATTTGTGTGCACACACACAGGGTGTGGCAAAAGTAACAGCTCTTTTTTTTTTTTTTTTTTTTATTTTAGCTGAGGTGGCTAGGACGATGTGGCACAATTAAGTAGTGACCACCAAATATAACACTAACATGTTTTTTCTTGTAGAGTGCAATGAAAGATCTTTTTTACGGGCTAACAAGCAAATTCTGATAAATTTTCTGAAATTAATGTCAATATGTGTCAAATGGTTTGTAGAAATGTTGCTAATAGGGTTCAGTATTTTATTTAGCCTAATGGGAGTATTTTCAAGTTGCTAAATACTTTGTTAATCATAACAAATCATGTTGTTTTGATGTGACAATACTTATAAATTTCCTTAGATTACTATAAAAGTTAATAAATAAAACATTGTGTTAATTTTGCTACACTCTGTATATTACCAAATTATGCATATAAACTTTAATTGCTAGTTTAAATATGGAAAATTTTTACAAATACAGTCAATGTAGTAACATTGTTTTTATAAGATAATTTCAAGAATCTCATGTTAGGCATATTTTTCCTAATGAATTTTCTATCTTCAAGCTCTCCTTATCACTAACAGTTTTTATAGACATTTTAAGACATTTAACTTACAATTTAATGTTATCAGTTTGATAGTTTGAAATTTGTTGAGTTAATGGTTTTAACTTTAGGAACAATTTCATAACCAAACTTGACTTTGTTTTACATTTTACTCTCAAAGGAGTTGGATAAATACTTAATAACTATATAAATATTTCCTAGCCTTAACTTAGTCTGACACAGTAGTACAACACTTAGCAAAGATTAAACTTGCTATATTCTTAGTGGTCTGCAATGAACAAATATAAATAAGTTTATATATAAGGAATAATGAGCTCTTCATAAATGTTATTTTCTGTAAATGTCTTAAGAGCCAATTCTTGTCTCAAAAGATATTTTTATTGAAAGAATCCTATTTTAGATGTACACAATATCTGTTAGTTTATAAAATTTGTTTCCAAAATTAAATATTTTTGCATCAACTGTAACATCTGTCTCCCAAAAAAAAAAAAAAAATTAAAATAATAGAATTTAACAAAATCAAAAAGGAGACAACATATTTCAATATCATTTAACTTTTTACATTTTTTCTCTATTTTATCCTTAATTTGCAAATGTTTCTTTCTGAGAATGATTCAGACTATTGTTTGCAATATTTTAGTTGCTTTTATTACCACAGCATTTTGGCCCATCTATTTTACAATTTCTTTTTTTGGGTAGACAATCTGTATATGTAAAGAAAGGGATTCTGTTTATTTTTGTTTTCTTTTTCTTTTTTTTTCTTCTTCTTCTTTTTCGTTGTAGAAAGAAATAGTATGAACAACTCTGACAATGATAATGATTCAACAATATAATAACTATCTTCATAAATGTTTATTACAGGACTGGATGTCGCCCATTTGCTGAAGTCTTCTTGGGAGAAGATAGAATCCTGACTACATCTCAAGAATATGAAAGAATGAGGTAAAAAAAAAAGAGGAAATTATTTATGCTGAAATTTCCACTATTTAATCTTTTATCTTTCCTTCTCTCTCACACTTTGTAGGAAATGTTTTCTTTATCATTTAATAGAAAAATAACCTAAAGAGAAATCTATATATATATATATATATATATATATATATATATATATATATATATATATATATATATATATATATATATATATATATATATATATACACACACACATTGTATCTGTAATATCTTTCCTATCTTGTCCTGTTAAATTTTGAATTTTCCATCTTAACATGTCTTCATTGGCTAAATCTGCTATCAACAACTTCTCATATCTTATTTTCTTCTCTTTCCTTTTCATTTATATCTGAAAAATTTGGATATACTCCTCTCCTTTTTCCTTTCCCTTCTCTTTGTAGTAGAGTTGATTTCTTATGCTTTCTTATGCCTTTACCTTTTTCTTCTTTCGTTTTTTTTTTTTTTTTTAATTGATTTCTTATTTTCTTTCCTTTTTTACTTTAATTTGCTTTTTTCTCTCTTTTCCTCTTATGGAATGAATAAATTTTTTTTATATATTTGTTTCTTTGTTTTTTATGGAAAATTTTCAAAAATGTAAAAAAGAAGTGATGTTTCATAAATCATTTTTAAATAAAATCGTTTATTACCACCATTGTTAGCTGCCTGATGAGATGTTTTTGGACGAGAAAACAAATATGCATTTTTGTCATGGTAACTTGCATGTTCCAATGTAACAGTCTGTAATATATATATATATATATATATATATATATATATATATATGTGTGTGTGTGTGTGCGCATTTTATCTCCTTTTTTTTTTTTTTTTTTCCCTCTCACAGAGGATTTTCAATTGAAGAATACAAAGCAACAATCCCACTGAATATATCTGCTGTTGGAGATGTCACCATTATAGTTTATCATGCTAGATCAACGTTTGGTGGAAAAGTTCAGGGAAAGGTTAGTGAATAAACGTAAATTCTATTTTACTTGAAAAAACTAACTAATAGTTTGAATTTGCAAAAAGAACCACTTGGTATAAATACAGCACCCCACTTTCTCTAAAAATATAATCAAGTATTGGCAGTGTTTTTGTTTGTAATACTAAAAGCATTTGTTTTGATTCTTAGCCATGATCACATTACATTTCATTTTTTATCATCAATGAACACTGTTTTTTTTGTTGTTGTTTTTTTTTTTTAAGATTTTCATGTCAGCTTCCTAGAATTGAGCAGTGGTTAGACTGCTAAGATTTCATTTTTGAAATTTGATCTTTTAATTTGAATAGCTAAAAGAAAATTTGTTCCAGTGTACTCATATTATTCCATCTCTCAGATCAAATTACTTCTATATTTATGATTTATATGCTTATTTCAAAATTGGTGCCAAATGAATTCTTAATTTTAACAAATGACTATAAAATTGTTGTTAGAATTCAGCTGCTCTAGACAAACTGTTAATCTATATTCATTGTTTTTATTTTTTATTTTCCTTCTAAGATCACATCCATGAAAATGTTTCAACTTCAGTTCCACACTGGAATGATTAAACCTGATACAGAAAACGTTAAATATCTGTTGTAAGTAATCCAATTCTTTTTACTTTTTTCACACATTTTCTTATATTAACATTTTATTTATTTCTTCACTCTTTCTTCTTTGAATAGTTGGAGATCAGTAGGCAGAGTATAAACTTTACATAAAAAAAATATTCATTAGCTGATACAACTTGAAAGAAAATCACATCATCATTTTATAAGAACTGACTCCAAGTGAAGTAATCCAAAATGCATTTAAAAAAAAAATTAAAAAAAAATAAAATCTTCATATAAATTTTCCTCTAGCTTCCCTATCTTAAATATCTAGAATAAAAGTTTTTTCATAATTTATTGGAGTGTGGACAACCTAATTTGCTGTTCCCAGATTCACCCTGACTTGGGGTGGTAGTATCTATTAGGGTCTCATCTATGGGCAAATAGTGAACCCCCACTACCACAACAAAACACTATGAAAGTATAAAAATACCAGCAATATACTTTTTATATAAAAAAAGGGACTAACAATACATATTTATAATTAAATGACCAGCAATACATTTTATCCGTAGTTGAAGGAATACAATTGCGTTCAAATATTAAATAAACCACAGAGGTTCATCATCTTGCTAAACAAAATCAACCAAACAACCAGCATGCAAGAACTTTCATTACATTAATCCATATAATATCTGACAATTTCTTAAGTAAATCACTTGTATTCCAAAATATAACTTCAACAAAACATAAAACACATATATTACCACCTCTAGTAATTATGTCCACGCAAACATGTATATACACAAAATCTGAGTATCATCTACCATGTTTTCAGTTGTTTAAGCAGAATAACATTTTTATTACTTCAAAGCTCCCATGAAAATTAACTTTTGGCATTAAATGACCCATAAGGAGTTGATATGGCATTAAACAAATATATCAGTCATAATTTATCAGTTAATCTTTGTGGTATGTAACACTTCAGAGTTTAATTTTTAAAAATATAATTTATATTAAGAGATGTTTTGTGTAAAATTTAATCTAAGCAAGAAAACTCAAAAAGTAAATCATTCTTTAACATATCCATCCATATTTCTGAGATGAGCTATTGTAAATATTTACACTATTTAGATTGTTCGGATTGTTGTCATTTTTGTTGTAATATTCACAACGTTTTGGCCAATGTACACTCCGGCCTTCTTCAGGTGATTGGAATTTCAAACCGAACCCATTATTTCGTCAACCAGGGTAGAATGTTCTAGTTCCATGTGTCATACCTCCTCCAGTTATCTTAGTTTTAGTTACTTCCCTTTAGTAACTCAACTGTCCAAGCCCAGTGGATAAAAGCATTGGTTGAAGTAATCCAGTAACTTGACCTAATGAGTTGTGAGTTCAATACCTGGCCACAGCAGAGATAAACAAAAACTTGAAGAGTTGAGTTAACGGGAAATAAATGAAACTGAGATATCTGGAAGAGGCATGGAACATGGAACTAGAACAATCTACCCCGGTGGATGAAATAAAAAGTTCAGTTTCAAAGTTTCAATCACCTGAAGAAAGCCAAGAGCATACAACAACCAAAACGTTGGGAACAAATATGAGGACAACAGTCCAAACGATGTAAATAGTGTAAATTCTTTACCATAAAAGAAAAAAAAAATGAGTAATATAATTATGTCTTAAAAACAAATTTGATTTTTTTTTTTTAACTTTACACGATCCAATCTAGAATAATTTCTTCAGGGAATTCAGAGTGATATAAATGGGAGATAATTTAAATTTTAATCTCTACATTGATTATCAAAGAATTATATTACTTGTTCTATTCTAATGTAAGATATTAGCTATGGGGTGCAACAGAAATACCTCCCACATTTTAAACTGTCACCAGTGTGGTGATAGTAAACTTAGGCAAGTGACAATGGTGTCTTCATCTAGCTAATGTCTTACCATTATGTGGGAGGTATTTCTGCCACACCCTGTATTATGAATTAATTATATGTTACTAGTTTTAACCCTGTAAAAATTTCACAGTTTTCCTATTTTAATATTCTGATGCATCTTAATTCTTAAGTTAATGATTGAGTAAACTCATAGCGAGTTATGCAACAATAAATATCTGTAGAAATTCCCTTATTGCATTGTTAAATATTTGAGCTTAACAACTTTAAGAAAATATTGCAATAACAAGCAATGGTGGTCCTTATTTTAAGAAGTAAGGAGGTACAAATGAAAAGATTTGAAATTGACAACTTTTTCCATTTCACTGAAACAGCTGTTAAACATTGCTGTCTTCACTTTCTTTCATTCATTTTCTCACTGAAACCAAGTAGTGTTTTTCCCTTCTTCCACATGATCAAAATAGAATAGTCCATTATTTATAATGTATTGGCAGGGTGTGATAGTCATGCAAACAAATAAAGAGAGAGACAAGCACAATTATAAAAGAATTAGTAAAGCAGTTTATATTAGGAATTGTATAAAAATTCCTCTTCATATAGAAATCTGCAATCCAGAGAAATTATGATGAAAATGCATTTTCAGTATCATCTGCTAATCTGGTTCATATTTATTTTTACTTTAGTGGACTTAAAAAGTCTAATTTCCTGAAAAACTGTTTTAATAAAAAGATCTTATAAATTTCAACCAACAATTACATTGTCTGATCAATGAAGGCTTAACTGAAACAGCTAATTTTATCATTGACAAAAATTCAGAAAAAAGTAAAATCCTTTCTGTTTAGTTCATAATATTCTTAATGCACATTTCAAAAATCCCTTAGATTTCTGACCCTTTTCTTTAATTGCTTCAGCTTACCTTTCTGTTTATTTGATTACCTTTTTTTTTTCCACTCATCAGTATAATAAAAAATATCCATCTGTGTACCAATTATGTTTACTGATGAGGTCTTACTGCAGATTTATATATTCCCTATGTAATGAAGATTTTTGGTGTATCTGATTTTAAGAAAGAATTGAAACTATTTTAATTCAGTCCATTTATTTATTTGTTTTTTTTTTTCTTTTCTAGCACTGATTTGGACTGCATTGATGCCCCAGAAAAATTACCAGAATTATTCAAAGTTAGTCTTGAAGTGAAAGTCAGTTCAAATGAAAGACCAAAAGATGACCAAGTTCTACCCTGGGAAAACTTTGATGCTATGTCTATCAACTCTAAAATGTTATTTTCCTCTAAAGAAGAAATGGATAAGGTCACTGCTGAAGTGGGTAAGCTCTTAGGAAGTAATTGTAATTGTATATTGAAAATAAAAAATAAACATTGAATACTCTAAATAAATAAACAGTAAATTCTATCTGTCCATCCATGTGCCTGAAGCCCCTCTTGCTTGGGTCACACTTGCTCTACATAGACATATTATGCATTTTTGGAATTGGAATGATCCCAGGATTGGAAATCTGCCCTTCATCTGGTGCTTGAACATCCAGCATTGGGATTTGTGTCCGGATGAGGAGTGAACTTAAAAATTCAAATTTTAAAAATAACTGAAAAAAAGTGATTTTGAAGTTTTTAATTTATATTGAATTTCAAGTAACACAAAATGTTTGTGAATTTAAAAAATTTTGTTTTAAATTCAGTTTAAAATATCTCCAAAACTTTGTTAATTGAGGGAATCAATTTTATTTCTTCAAAATGCCAAGGAACTGAGTTAAAATGAGGTTTTTGTGACATGAGGTTTTGAAATTCTGCAAAGTTTGATTTGAAAAACTCAGTTTTTGGCCTGAATTGGACATAGCCTGAATCAGAGTTAAAATGCTGTTTTCTAAGCTGGACCAGAAGTCCCTTTAGTTTTGGGCCAGAGGCCCAATTAGCCTTTCACAGAAGCTAGCTTAAATATCTGCACGGAGCTAGTATTTAGAAGCAGAAAAATCTATTCAGTTGAGTGAAAATGAGATTTTTATGTCATTTTTATTTTATAAGCAATATTTATTTTTTAAGATTGTGAAAATTTGTATAGTTTAACTTTGGCTTGAAACTGCATAGATTTCAAAGTTCGACATTTCATTCAAACAATTGTAAGTCAACAATTGTTCGTACTTCAACGGAGAAAAATGTGTTAAGAATCAACTTTCAAGTTTAGTCTAAGTTGAGCCAAGTTTCTTGAACTAAATCTTGTAAATGTGCAAATCAAATCAAGCAACATCAACATCCCCCTTTTTGAAATTAGCACCTTGTCTTCATTTTGTCCTCCCTAGACAAATGTGTCCCTGGATAATTGCATACCTCTGATAATTTTTTGAAGTTACATATTTTTTTTTTTTTTTTTTTTAATGAGTTGTTTAATATAGAAATTTCAACACCAATACCTTTTAATTACTCTAAAAAAACAAGCAGGAAGGTAGTTACCATAAATAAAAAAGAGAGAAAAATTTCCTCTTTTAAGGCAAGAGAAAATTAAAGTAGCAGTTTCAGTTCACTCCAGCAGTGCATACCACAAACATCTAATAGATTCTGGATTTTATAGATTATATTTTTATTTGGAACCCATGGCTAAGTTCTGAAAATCAAAACCCCGGTGGAAAAATATTTGTGGATGAGGAAAATTACAGCTATCACTATCATAAGAAAAATACTGATGAAACAAAAACATACTGGTGATGTGTAGGGCGATCTTGCAACACTATTAATCTATTTTAAACAAAAATAAACTTTTAATTTTTTTTTTATTTTATTCCTTTTTTAAAAATTTATGATTACTACCTATGTTTTTTTTTTTTCAAAATTTATGCTAATTGCCTTTAAAAGCTTCAAAAAATTATCAGAGGTATGCAGTTATCCAGGGGCACATTTGTCTAGGGACACAAATGTCTGGTATGCAAATTTCCAGGAACACAACTGTCCTAGAACTGTGGTCTTTGGGGTATTCTCATTGTTTTATTCTTGGTCTACACATTGGCACTTAAGGTGTTAAGAAACATCTAAGCTATGCACCTGTTTCAGTTTAACCCACTTGAGGCAAGTTGTCCATTGACAAATCATCTTAAAAAAAAAAAAGACACTAGTTTTATAATACTGGGAATTCGGCTTGATAACCTCATAGTAGAATCTGAACAGGATCTTCTATGTGCCATGTCCCTTCAGGACATTGACAGGCATGGCTCTCCACAATTTTCTGTCCTTTGTAGCTCTTAATAAATTTTGTCTTTTTGTTATCTCCTAAATCTTGTTCCACCATCCATTTACTCAAGTTTCCTAGGTAGGTTATGCATTGTTTTCCCCTGTCTTTCTTGCCGTCAATCTATCATGTAAGTATAAAATTTTCCAAGCCTTCTTTCCTCATTATGTGCCCTATAAATTTCAACTATCTCTTTCTGATGTTAAGTATAAATGCCTTTTTTGTTTCCATTTTCCCTAAAACTTTGTCATTGCTCACATTTTCAGCCCATGGTATTCTCGGCATTCTTCTGTAGAACCACATTGCTTCAGTCTCATCTTCATCTGTGAGGAGATTGTCCAGCATTCACTATTATATAGGAGAACTGATATTCTGATAAATGTTTCTGTTTCTTAATACTTTGCTTAGCTTTTGGAAGGCAACTGCTATCCAACTATTCCTTCAGATATAAACATTGTTTAAATATATGATGAATAACCTGGAAGTAATACTTCCTATCTATTTCCATGGAAACTACAACAAATCTGGGATGACAATAATACTGAATAGGGCAAGTTTTCAATTACAAAACATTATTTCTTCCACCATTGGTTATGTATTTTCACTAGCAATAAACCTGCATGTAATGTTTGAAAAAGTGAGCACCAGCAGAGATAACTCATTTTAACACCTCAAAAATACTGAAAAGTATTTGATTTTAAGGATATTGTTTAACACCCGTGTTGCTGCATAATATTAATCATTCTCAAGAATTATCTTGATTTAATCACTATCAATCTCGATTGATCTTCTTGACCATCAAGCAAAGTTAAGTGAGAAAACTCTACAGTTGATGATTCATAGTGTATCTTTTTCATAGATTACATAGACCATTTTTCTGTATTTTAGTTGCCTTTTTACCTTTCTTATAGTTAAAAAGTAAAAAAATGTTGCTTATTTTCTTCCATTTTCAATGCTAGAATAGATCTTGTTAAAGGTACAAAATTTAATGGGCAAAAAGAAGGAAAGCAACTCTGGTAATTTAATACAAAAGAAGAGAATAAACACAATAATAATAATAAAAAAAAGATTAGCTACCTGGTTATCGCTACTTTCTCATCAGAAGTGGTGCAAAAAAAAATTATTTTTAAATTTGGGGCACAACTGACTAAAAAAGGTAACGTGAAATAGAAAATATATGCATATCAATAATATATTGAACTGGATATATTTCTTTGAAGACGAATCATTTCCAGCAATTATTCCTTCTGTTTACACAAGAAAGAGTGTCTCGAGTTAATGAAAATTGTTTCCAGAACTTTTAAATAATAATTTGAATGTGATTTGTAAGAATTGAGAACATGTCCTTCTAGTAGGATGATACTATAAATTTTGTATAAGGTGTTCCATAATTGCAGACCCACTTATTAAAATTATCTAGTTGACCCTTTCTAATAGTGTTAAAATCAATGAACAAGAAATATCCCAATTTTAACAATTTAAAACATGTTTGCTGAGATTACAGTTGTCACAATAGAATCAATTGATTTTTCTGGTTTATGTCCACATTGGGAGCATTTCATTTTAACTCTTTTGTAGCAAATACTTTTTTTTACCTACCCACAATGAAAATTGATATTTTTCTCCAATAAGAATAATTTATCTAACTACACTGTCATCAAGCTGATGTCATATATGGTGTCCAAAAAATATCTAAACTATTGTTTTTATACAACTGTTTTCTCAGATTAATGATGAAAAATGGATTCAATCAAATGAATCCTCTATGTCTTAAAAAAAAACATATTCTTCATCACATCTCATAAAATGGCAATGCAGAATCAGAAACAGAACCTTTACTAAATAACAAAAAAAAACTACATGACTTGAAGACTTCCAGCACATGTAAATTGAAGGAAAAATAATGATATAATCAAGATGTTGACTTTCCACACGACTTTAAGTGAAAGCTGTGGAACAAAACTCCCATTAATACTAGAGTTGATAACAGTGGACTTGAAGTTTGATTTTCCTGTTTTAAGAAAGATTTCAACCAACAGTATCTCTTATTTGGTCAATGAATGTTTAATGTTTCCTGTATGCAAACTTCACTACTACTATTAACATTTAAATCATTTTCTACTCTCGTTAGTAAAAATCAATCTAAGATAGACTAAATATTCCATCAATTTTTAACACATTGACTGCCAGAGGTCATTTATGAAAACTAACTTCAAATACCAACTTCATAAAAAATTTTTGTAAGTTGATTTATAGCTTAAAATGAAGTCATAACATTGTTTTCACTCTAAAAGTATCACTATGAATGAACTTGTTGATGCCCACAGATGAAAATCTATCAGAAAATGCAGTCAATGTGTTAAAATCACTTTTTCTTAAATGTTATAAAGAATAAACAATTGATTTCTTTTCTTTAAAATGTTGATTTTTATTTTTTTTATTTCAGCTATTTGTGAACAGAGACAATCACTTCAGCGAAACTCTAGTCACGGTTCATCTGACACTCCAAATGAGAGCCCAAGTAAATCTTCAGTTGGACGAGGGTCACCTCAATTGGCTGGCAGCCCCAGGACAAAGCCCAAAAGGCCTGAAACTTGTCCAAAAACAGTTGGCAAAAGCCAGTTCTTTGACAACCTTGACTGGCAAAAGGATGGGCGTGCCTCACCCAGTGGTCAGTCAAGACCACCAGAAGAATCAACTGAAAGTCTTCTTGACAATGTAGAAACCACAGAGGATGATTTTTCTGCCTTGTCAAATACACGGGTCAACATTCCACGTGGGCCAAGCCCTACACCCTTCCAGCAACAAGGGTCACCTCAACATAAACCAACACTACCTACAGACAAGGAGGACAGTCAAGCTGGTTTTCAGACCACATTTATTGCCCCTCCCAAAGAGCAAACAGCTGATCTGCTAAATATAGGTGGAGAACCAATAAACAGTTCGGGTGACAGTAGTCAAAATCTGGCCAGTCACATGAATCTTTTAGATATGGGTGAATCTGCACCAGTCAGTAATTTTGACCTCTTGATGGGTGGGTCAGACTGGAAGGGTGATCAAACTTCTGTTTCATCACAGGGATCCCAGTTGGGTGACACATTTGACCCTTTCCAGCAGGCTACAACACCGACTTATCCCCAGCCCCAAGCATCGCCACAAAAGAAACCAGAGATCCGGGAGCCACAAATGAATTTTGGTAATTTTGATCCATTCCAATCATCTTCAAATACTCAGAATGAATTCTTTAATCTAATGAATGGTAAAAAATCAAGTTCTGCCCATATACAACCATCTCCAAGTGCAGGAATTGATCTGATGGGCTCTTGGGCTGATAATAGCACAAGCAGCGGCCTCATGGGCTCCAACCTGAGTGGGTCCACCAGCAACCTTTTCCCTGGTAGTTTACCGAAAAAGAATCCAAGCTTTCCATCAGGACTCAATCTACCCAATATTTCTGCCCCTGGAGGTGCAGGAGGCCTTGGAGGACAAAGTCTAGGTTCCATGAATATGGGGAGCACTGGCCTTCCAAGAACAGCTTCAGCAGCAGCAGCTATGAATATCCTGGGTGAGGGACCAACACCAGCAAAAAGTGCTCAGAATCTAAAATCTCCAGATCCATTTGCTGACTTGGGTGAGTATTTTAAGAAATTTTAATTTCAATCTAAACAATATCTACATATCTAGTCTCTGTGTGTGTACTTGCCTATCTATCTATCTATCTTTTTTTTTATAAAGAAATATTTCTGCTCGTGTATATTCCAAAGTTTCTCATTAAAGATTTTTTTTTTTGTTTTTAAATTTTATTTTTTTCTATAAAACTAATTACTTTGTATGCTTAGAGAAAATCAAATTCTAAGTGTTTTAATAAAATTAACAAAAGAGTAATTTATGAATTATTCTTATATTTAAAAAAAAATTATTTTTAAAAAGCTAGAGATGCCAGTCACATGGCCTCCATGTTTAAGTAAAGTCATTCGATATTTTAAACTGGATGCTGAATTCCTTAATCCTTTTACCCTTCAAGAGGTATCATATAAGGTCTAACATTCAAAAAATTGCCAAAGCATATCAAGCACAGGTTTCACACAAGCAAACTTAAATATACAATGTAATGTCTTAAAAATAAATGCATATTTCAAGAGACTTCTTTATTATTTTCTATTTTCAAATTCCATGACTAATTTTTTCTTATTAATATTTCAAGTGTACCTCAGAGTTTTAATTATTCTACACATGCACCCTGAAATAAAAATGGTTGAGAAACATTGCTTTTAGGGTTTCACACATTTAGAAATATTTATTAGCTAACTGCTTTATAACACTGTGATATATTTTTGCTGTGAAATAACTAAGCCAGTAATGAAAAAATGATTTAAATGAGTCTTAGGGACAAAGAATTAAAAAAAAAAAAAATTAACACACAAATTAGCACTTTAACATACTCCGGACTCAAAAACTGAACCTAGCTTTAACTAAGTAAATAGTTTTGATATAAAGAAGATATCTGACCAAAAGGTTGTTAACTTTAATTATTTACAGATGCGTTTTTTTTATATATATATATATATATATAAAAGGCAGGATGTGCATGTGTGACGAATGCACCGCCGTAATTTTCGACAGATTTGCACCAAAATTTACATGCACATGCTCCAAGTTCGCGGGAAGGCCAAGACTGACTTTGCATTTCCCAACTCCCATCAATAGTGGAAATAATCGATTTTTTTCATGTAGTTTGCGGCCATTTTCTACTGGCCAGAGTGAGAGCCAATAGCTGGCTGCCACAAATAGGCAGGAAGATTCTATTAGCCAGTGTGAGAGCCAACAGCCGACTGACTCAAATGTTAACTAGCATGCAAAAAAAATCGATAGCTGCATTCGTCACAAGTGGGAAAAATTTAAATCTGCATGGCACTTTACTCCAATTGGCTCATTCGCTTGCTTAAACTCAACATTGATTCTGATTCAAGAGAACTGGGTTAGGTGTGAAAAAGTATTTGTTGTTAACATTCTTTTTCATTTGGTTTTTCCAGTTATGAGTCCTTTTTTAAAGCTGATCATTTTGTGTTCATTTTGTTTAGTTCTTTTTTTCGTAACAGATTTAATGTTTAGTATAGAGCTTAGAAAAAAATTCACAGTGAGATAGGCAAGAAGTAAGGCATGTAGCAACATCAGCATGGCAAAGGACATGCCTTTAAAGGCAAGGAAGGGCAAAAATATTTTAAGTCAAGTGATAGCGATCGCTGTATGAGTCTACGATTTTTTAATCAAGCACGGGCAACGCTGCTATATATATTAATCATTTCACCCCAAGCAAGTCAATAAAGCCACTAAGACATAGAGGGTTAATGAGTTTGAAAGAATATAAAAAGAAAAACAGTATTAAGAGAAAACACAATAACAGAGCTGGTATTAAGAAAATAGAAGATAAGGATTGACATTGCATTTATTTATTTTTTTTTTTTTTGACTGGAAAACAAGAAGCTGGAAGAGTTCCACAAGCAAGAAGTGCAAGAAAAGGAACTGTTAGCATAGAACATACAGTTACATCTATCCATTTCAGCTGTAAAATGATGAGACCTTGCTGCCAATCTGATACTGTGCTTAAATTCATAAAGTCTAGGTACCATAGAGGAAAAGCTTATTGGAATAATTACCATGAAAATATTTATAGAAAAGGCAAAGGGAAGCTACATTACAATGGTGGAGAAGTGACTGAAGCCAAAATGCCAAGTCAGGCACAATGATATTGCAGATCCTTCTTTGTATTTTACCAAGAATCTCTAAATGTATAGCAGGGGCACCAGACCATATCTGGCAGCAATATTCAAAGTTTTATAGGGTTTTTTTAGAAATAAAACAATTACTTACCAAATATCAAATTTCATGCACTTGTGAAAAAAAAAAGACTGTACTACATTCAGTTTATGTATACTGAACAAATTCTCCAAATTTAAAATTTTTTTTTTAACTACCAGTCTGTTTTTTTCTGTGTAGAGCTGAAATAAGCATTATAGATTTTTGAATAGATAAAAAAATATCACTTATAGAATCAGTATTTCTATGTCAAAAGCTTGGGTAACTCACATTATTTAGTTATATACAAACACTGACATAGAATTGAAAACTTTCTTAGAATACTTACTATACTGCAATAATTAAATGTGCTTCTATGTTGTATATTGCAGGTAACTTGTCTTCAATGAAGTCTCCTGGCAGCACAAGTAGTCTTGGGACACCATCTCCAGCAGCACCCACATGGCAGCAGCCTAGCCCGCAACAACCTAAAGCTCCATTCAGTGGATTGTACCCAGGTAAAGTTTTGGTTGATTGTCTGAGACATAAACCTCATTTTAATGAGGTATGACTTTTCAGATGTGTCCCCATAGCTTAATATTTCTCTAAGGAAAAATATTGAAAGTTTTAACAAACTTATTATTTGAATTTAATGTTTATATAAGCTGCAATATTACTAATTATATCAAAAACTTCATGTATTTTAACTTTTTTAATCATTTCACCTCAAGCATGACGATAATGCCACAAGGGCACAAGGTTTTACAAGTAGTGAAAGAGAATACAAAAACTTTAGTGATGAGAAGTGGATGGGAAAATGACAATAAAGGAATAAGGTTCATAAAGACAGAAGATGGTGATTGATTTTGCTTTTAAATTTTTGAAGATTGTAGTTATCAGGGAAGCAAGAAATCAGAAGGGAGTTCCACAAGAAAAGAAACTGTTAGATGCAAGTAGCAGTTGCATCTATCTAGTTCAGCAGTAAAACAGTGAGACCTAATTGCCAATCTAGTAGCATGCTTAAACTCATGGAGTCACGGAGAACAGCTCATCAGAACAATTGCATTGAAAAATATTTGTAGAAAAGACAGGAAAGCCATGTGTTACGTCAGTGAAGTTGAGATGCCAGGTCCAGACTGATTACATTACAGACCTTCCCATGAATTTTGTCAAGAACCTCGAGATGTATAGTAGGAACACCAGACCAGATATGGCAGCATTATTCAATGCATGAATGAACAGTAGATTTATAAATGTGCAAGAAAGAGTCTGACGAGATGAATTGTCTGGTACAACACAGTGAACCAATTTTCAGAGCAGTAGATCTAGCAATTGATTCAATATAATCACTCCACTTCATGTCAGTGGAAAACATGAACCTAAGAAGACACAGTGTTGCTCTCCTGGAACATGCTGATGGCAGGCAGAAAAGGTTGACCTGTCCTATGAAAAGAGAAAAGTTGTCATAGATGTTCTTTTACCTCACTCGAATTTCTGTATGAACATTTTCAGCAAGACATCTGTTTTTTAAAGTTTTTTGTCAATTTGAGAAGTCCACTTGAATTTCCTACTTAAGACATAGCTACTTAGACCTGACCATTAGAGAAACAAGAGACAAAATTTTCTTTTTAATCAATTCACCCCAAGCAAGACAATAGCACCACTAAGATGCAAAGGATTACTGAGAGTGAAAGAGAATAAGAAGACTTTAGGAGAAGGAACCAGAGGCCCAAACCAAAATGTGGAAACAAGGAATAAACATCTACACCTGTTCAGAAGATGGGGAAGGAGTGTGAACTGGACAATTCACAAACCTTGTGTAGAAATTTGATAGCGCCTTGGTTGGCAATCAGTCTGGGATGATGAACTGGTCCCAAACCAGAAGTATGTTCTTAAAGCATATCGATGGTAAATGCTATCTCTTTTCTGGTAACTCCTGCAGCCAAAAATTCACTTCATTTCAGTTATTCAATCAAACTTTTTCGATTTACTCTCATATTTAAAATTATTAGATTTATGTCATTGTTTTTAATTTTCAAAATAAAATTAAGTGGAAATTTAAATAAATATAGTGAAGCATTTCAAATAGAAATTGAGATCAGCATTTGATCTTTATTATTAACAACTGTTTTTTTTTTTTTTTTTTATCATTTCACTCCAAGCAAAGTAATAATGCTACTAAGACACAAGGGGTTACTGGGAGTGAAAGAGAATGAAAAAACTTTAGAAGGACCCAGAAACCCAATCGTAAACAAGAAACAAGGGATAAACCTCTGCTACTGTTCAAAAGACGGGAGGCGTGTGAACCGGGCAATAGACAAGCCTATCTCCTCCTATAATAATAATAATAATAAATTAGCAAACTTACTATTTTTTTTCACTTGTTTAAATAATTCAGTGAAGTTTTAAGAAAATATAATTAAACAGATTATTTTGACTTATTTAGATAATTACATTAATTTTTTTCCATTCCATTCAACTAATTTGTAGTAATGTGAAATAGCAGACAACAATGCTTATGAATACTGTAGGTTTTTATGAATAGCATGCTTATGAATATTGTAGGTTTTTATGAATAGCATGCTTATGAATACTGTAGGTTTTTATGAATAGCATGCTTATGAATACTGTAGGTTTTTATGAATAGCATGCTTATGAATACTGTAGGTTTTTATGAATAGCATGCTTATGAATACTGTAGGTTTTTTATGAATAGCATGCTTATGAATACTGTAGGTTTTTATGAATAGCATGCTTATGAATACTGTAGGTTTTTTATGAATAGCATGCTTATGAATACTGTAGGTTTTTTATGAATAGCATGCTTATGAATACTGTAGTTTTTTATGAATAGCATGCTTATGAATACTGTAGGTTTTTATGAATAGCATGCTTATGAATACTGTAGGTTTTTATGAATAGCATGCTTATGAATACTGTAGGTTTTTTATGAATAGCATGCTTATGAATACTGTAGGTTTTTTATGAATAGCATGCTTATGAATACTGTAGGTTTTTTATGAATAGCATGCTTATGAATACTGTAGGTTTTTTATGAATAGCATGCTTATGAATACTGTAGGTTTTTTAACTTATAACTGAATTTTGAAAAAGCAGATATAAACTCTTTCTACACAGAAGATGAAACATCTCTTCAGATTTATTTAGATCGCCATCTTTAAGGACACTGTAAAGGTTCAATGATATATTTTCTTTTTTAATCTCTTATTCTAAATTCTGTACAATCTATGTTACTTTTTTGCAGGAGCTGGTGGTACTGCAACAGCTAGTAGCGGCTGGCAACAACCACAGGCTCCCACTACAGCCCAGGCTCCACCATCACCCAAGAAACAAGTCCCACCCCAACAGACAGCTCCACCCCAACAGAAATCTGCTTTTGGAGGGGCCAGTGTGATTGGTAATCGAGAAGATCGAGGAACTCGAAAACCATTTGGTAAATGTCATTAATTTTCATAATTTCTGTATGCGAAAGAACTGTTGAAAGATGTCTGTTTAGGCAAATTTATCAGCCGTAAGTGTCAATGGTATAGAGGGGTACAATTATGAGACAAAAACTTAATGATCCTGAAAGTTATTTTAAAGTGGATTGAGAGATCATCAAAAGACAAGAAACAATAGAGAACCATGTCCTGAAAGGGCCATTATACATCGAGAGTAGACACTTCTTTTGCTAAACAACACAAAGGGAGAGATATCAACAGGCTTCAATCAACTGATATAGATAGAAACATGGAGATGCTGAAAAGTTCTCATCCTGACCTATTCCCCAAAAATCTAATCAAATGACCAGTCATCAGAATCTGGTAGGAATCCCTTCTTGGTCAAACTAACTAGCACTGATTCACAGACATATGGTTAAAGAAAGAATAATTGATTAGATTCCTGACATTCTTCATCAAATACAATATTTTTAAAATTCATTTCACTCCAAGCAAGGCAATAAATCCACTAAGATGCAAGGAGGTACTGAGAGTAAAAGAAAATAAGAAAAAGTTATTGAGAAGAGAGGACAATAAAAGAACAAAATTCAAGGTGACAATTGATACTGCATTTGAAATTTTGAAGATCGTAATTGAGAGGAAAGCAAGAAGCTGGAAAAGACATAGGAAAGCTACGTTATGGCGGTGGGAAAGTGATTGAAGCCAAGATGTCAGGTCAGGACTGATAACATTGCAGATTCTTCTTTGGATTTTGTCAAGAATCCCTAGAAACATAGCATAAGCACCAGACCAGATGTGGCAAGTAAGTAAATGCCGAATGTACAGGTAGAGTGGCAGTTTACAGTGCAGAAAGGTGGAATCACCAAGCAGTGTTCAAATTCTGGCCTAGTTACATTCACTTTCACACAAATGTCTTTAGGAAAAGTATGAAACCCTCTTCTCTTCTCCTTTTAGCTCTGGGTTAAACATCAGAGTAGACTGGGTTCTCTAGCTTTGGGTGGTAACCAACCTTGAAGGAAAACTCTTAATTCAAAACTGTTGAGAATGTAATGAGGAAATCACTCTTATTTTTTCCCCCAGAGTCATGGAAATTCACAGATTTTAAAGAAATGGATTCTGTGAAAAGACATGATCACCTATAGTGGAGTTCACAAATTTTTTCTAGTGATTGAACACTTGTCAGATTGAATTGCATCTCAACCAGCCTTGAAAAAATGAACACACTACTTAAAAAACCTGCAATCTTGTTTTTTTGTTAATTCAAAAGAACACTTTATCAAAAGTAAGATGATATACCATGACTATTTGGAAGATCATTGTCAGAAATCTACTGAATATGACTGCATATAAAACAGACATTTAAAAAAAATTCAAATTTTGCACTGTATTTAATGCACTGGTATTATGACTAGGAGGCTGTCTACAAAAGCTTGATGAGACATCTATGGGATTTAAATGAATGCCAACAGCAGATCTTCAAATACCAACTACACTTTTTGGCTGGCAGATATATATTATTCTCCTATGTATTTCACCTTACGGCCTGATGTTGAAATGCTGGTCCTCATTTGATCACCGAAGTTAAGCAACATCGAGCCTGGTCAGTACTTAGATGGGTGACAGCTTGGGAATTACCAGTGACTGTAGGCTAGGATTTGTGGGTGAGTTAATGGATAATGGCTTGGATTTGGAAATCTGATTACCAAGTTCCAATTCCAGTCAGGTTTGTTATAATCACTTATGTGCAAATACCCTTGGGGAAGGTATAAATCCACCTCTTCTTCCCCCAGATATGGGTTAATTAGCATGGCTTGTATCAGAAAATCATTATCTCCAAAAAGGTCATAGAATCTAAAAATAATTTCTGGCCTTAAATAACCTGCAAAGGTTTGATAAGCCATTAAAAAAACAACAAATCAATCAAAAATCATGTATTTATTCTATTCCTTGTTAGACTATATTTAGGAATTTTTATTTTAATCAGTTATATTATGTTTTTTTGTTTTTTCTTTACTTTTTGTTAAGGACCAAAACCCAAAGTTGATTCTGATGCCTTTGGTGACTTGCTTGGAGATTTTTCTTCCAAGAAAGCAAATGAACCTCGCACAATTGGTGAAATGAGGAAGGAGATATTAGCAAAAGAAATGGATCCTGACAAACTAAAGGTAAGAGTCTAACAGTTCAATCCTATTTTTGTGATTATACTAAACATCGGTCAATATTTACATTATTTATAAGACTAATATCTTCATCTCTGTTGTTGCTATCATAGCATTCTTTAGGGAACTTCAAACTGAACCTTTATTTAATCTACAGGAGTAGACTGTTCTCTTTCTGCTGTCCATGTCTAGGGATATGTCATCTTGTTCTTATTTAGTACTACTCAGTTTTGTTTCCACTTAGTCTGAGTTTGTCCAGGAATTGAATCCACAATTTACTAATCAAATCTTTAATCCATTACGTTATTCTTCACATGTAAATAATAACCCCTAATGCCAGAAATTCAAACAGAAACCTTCATGCCGGGCCATACTGCTAGTGTATATATATATATATATATATATATATATATATTGACAGTTTTGTAAGAATATTTAAGTACATCTTGAAAACTTTTATGTCTTTCATAAAGATGTATGTTAACAGCAGTGGAAGTGTTAATGCATCATAATAATTTGCACATCAATTTTTTTTTTTCTTTTTGTATTACCATTTTGGATATTTCAATTTTTAGATAATGGAATGGACAAAAGGAAAAGAACGAAATATCCGTGCCCTGCTTTGTTCTCTGCACACAGTTTTGTGGGAAGAAGAGACACGATGGAAAGAATGTGGAATGCATGAATTGGTCTCAGCTGACCAAGTGAAAAAAGTCTACAGAAAAGCGGTTCTGTCTGTGCATCCTGACAAGGTAAGTCTTGACCAATGGTTGGAGAACGTAGAAATGTAACCATCTTAAAACTGGGTTGTCAGTTGTGTAAATCCTTGCATCCTGAAAGCATAATTTTGTATTTATTTATATCAAACCATTTTTCTCAGTCCACTAGAGGTTAAATTTTCCTCAAGGTCTGTCTGATTTGGACAGAATTGAGCCTTGTTCTGCCATGCTGGCCTATGTCATGTTTGCTGGGGTTTGAAATCAAATTTGTCCTTCACTTAGATTAAATGCTAACAAATCCAGTCAGTCCTGTTATTTTTAACTGAGCTGAATTCATGCTTTTCCCAAGGGCATTACTTTGAACACAACAGCTTTGGCCAGAGTTTGAATTTGTCCTTCATCTAATTCTATTTTCCACACCAATAACTGTTATGCAACCTGCTCTCTCCTTTTTTTTTTTTATTTGATACAAAATTCAAGAACTGTTACTTGGATCATTGGCTTACAGCCACATCATGTTAAAACATTGGTTCTTGTGCAATCATCACAGTTAAGCTACATTGAGTCTGGTGAGTACCTAGACGGGTGGCTTCTTGGAAATACCAGGTGTTGTAAGTAGATGGTGTAATGGATAAGAGCTCAGGATGAGAAATCAGAGTTGGATTCATTACATTCACTTACATGCAAACATTCTTGGGAAATGTATGAATCCATCTCGTCCCTCCATCTATGGACTTATTTGAAAATCATTATCTCCCAAAAATTGTTAATACAATATTTACTTAAGAAAAAAAAAAAAAGAATCATTCTTATAATCAAAAAAAAAAAAAATGTTCCAATTTTAAATAACCTAGAAAATGTTAAGTTGTAAAAAACAAATCAGTTAATACTTGGATTATTATATTTTTATTTATATTCTCTATAATCATCTTAAATTAATATAGTTTAATTTATTAATTACTTGTACACTTCAAAAAAAAATTATTTCAGATAAAGTTGGAGGTTTTTTTTTTTTTTTTTAAATATTTCTATTTTTTCTTTTATAATTAAGATAAATAATTAAAAAAGATCTTCCCACTGTATATCTAACTATTTCTGAAACTCAATTCCCTATGAAGGATCAGTTTGATATTGATGTCAGCAACATTAATTTTTAGAAAATAGTAATGGTAATGTTTCAGTGAAATTAGAATAACTAACAGCAAAATATTGATTGCTTTTTTTCATGAAGTTTGGAAATGACTTGAAAAATTATGATATTGAATGAATGCATTTCTTTGTCAGTTCAAAAAGACGTCCAGTTGTGATATAATGTTAAAAGAATTTTGATTTCAGAAAATTGAAATGTTAAAGAATCAGTAAATAAAGGAAAATAATTTGTTATGCACACACACATATCAATGGCGACTTTGTCATCAATGTTTGTCAGGCTCATTACAATCTTTAACAAAATATACTATTTGTATAACTTAAATGCTAAAATGATTCCTTTATTCTAACTAAAATATATCATTTTGAAAAGTCTCTGTGCATGAAATTAAAAAAAAACATTTTTGTATTTTAATATTGTAATAATTCTATAAAAAATAAACATTTATGTTTTTTTAAATTTCCAGACATAAACAAAAGAGTCAAGGCAAAGCCATATTTTTTTTTTTCTAAATAACATGTATCTATCTCAAGTGTGTGTTTGTATATATGTCTATGTGTTTGTGCATTTATGTATCTCTGTCTGTGTGTTTATGTACTGCTGACTGATATATTTCCTCAACACTTACCCCAGTCACACTCTTCATCCCAACCCTCCAGTCAATGACCAATTTTTAGGTTGGACTAAATTTAATTTGCCCTTTCTCAAAAGATACATTCCGCTAAAATAACTTATATTGTACGAAATAAATTTTAAAATGGATATTTGAAAACAAAAAGTTAAAATAAAATTTTTTTTCTCTGAAATATAGGGCATACAAATCATTAGAGATTTTTAAAAGATTATTTATAAAATTAAAGCAAGAAATACACTGCCTATTAAGTATGTCTTTAGCTAAGACCTACACAACCCAACTGGGTACGTTAATTTTATTTCATTCTTTTTTCTTTTTCTTTTTCTGAAAGATATCAATGAAATTTTATTTTGGTCAAGATTTTGAGGCACAAATTTAAAACAATTAGTTTTGTATCCAGCTGAAGACAAGAATGAAAACTATGCACTACAAAAAATTTTTGTTGCTTTAAAATAGACATGCTTGAATGTTGAATCACTTGGGCTAAGCCCAACAAACCTGACCCCCTAGAGTTACCACTAATATATATATATATATATATATATATATATATACACCTAGTGAGCCAGACAAACCTACCTAGGTTTCACCTAAACGGATCGTCAGGGAAAGTTTGGCTAACGAGGCAAAGAGAAACACATATTTATAGGTGATAGCTAAAATCATACCACCACAAAAAAAAAAACAAAAAAAAAAAACCCTAAGTGGGGGATATTTATTCAACAAAAAAAAAAAAAAAAACCTCAGTGGAAAGTCAATAACGGGAAAACGTCTAATTTAGTAGCCAAGATTTTTTATGTCTACATACATTGAGAATTTCAGTTTTAGAGTTTAATAGTTGGTTGGGTTGATCATATAAAGCTATGGCTAATTTCTCCTCGTTGTAGCTCTTTCTTTTTTTAAAACCTTTTTTTCCCCTCGAGATTGATTTGATTAGCAAATCAAAAATTCGAGGGTTTTTCGAAACGAGCCTAGTTATCTATATTTATATGTGTGTATATATATATATATATATATATATATATATATATATATATATATATATATGTGTGTATGTGTGTGAGTGTAAATATTATCAGAGTGTACCTGTAAGAGACAAAATGAATAGACGAGAGGAAAAAACTTTTCTTAGCTGACTCATTTCATCCTCTGAGGGGCTTGCCTTGATAAAAAGTCCCTCAGAAGACGAAATGCATCAGCTAAGTATAGTTTTTCCATTTGTCTCTTTTTATTCATATATATATATATATATATATATATATATATACACACACACACACACGCACAAATACCATTTCAGTTTTCTTGTAAACTTGATGACTTTGCTTTTAATAACTTTATTTCCTGGTCTCAACTGAGTTTAAATGAAGAGCCAAACTTGAATAACAAATTCTTTTACTTTTTTCAATCTGCTTTTGTGTTGTTACAAGAATCTTTTCAAATGCTTCCATAAACATAACATATGTCTTCCTCTTGTTTTTTTCAGCTACAAGGAACACCACATGAAGCCCTGGCGAAAATGATTTTCATGGAGTTGAATGATGCCTGGGCCGAATTTGAAGAAAAAGGAATGCAATCACTTTGTTGAAAAGAAATCATAAAAAAAAACTTTGGTCATCACAAAATGGCTCCTGAATTACATTTATTCAAACATTCCAAAACTTGGATTTTTGCCTTGTGTGGGGGGAAGAGGGGCAAGGCAACTCTGTATTACAAAGAAAGAAAGAGGAGAAGAAAGTTGACTTCCCACTCATTCTGAAGCATTATTTGTTCATTAGGCATGATGCTCTTTTGCCTTGTGACTCTCTATATGTCGCTCTCTCTCTCTCTTCTATGTCTTGGTTAAACAGTAACCAAGTAGTGAATAGAGTTGAATTTGATAAATTTGCTGGATCTCTTTTGTTTTTTTACAAGAAACAAAAAAAGGGGGGAAAACCTATCTGCAAAAGCCAAAGAAAAAAATGGCTAAAACTATCAAAGAATATTAAAAACCAATATAAGTGGAGCATGTAGATATACAGATGTTATATTGTTTTTTGTTGTTTTCTTTTTGTATATAATGTTGACAATTACAAAGTTAAACAACAACTTAAAACAAAAAAAATGTAAAATTTGATTATTAAAAAAAAAAAATAAGTGCTGTTGTAAATTTTTGTAAATAATTTCTACTGGAGTACATCTGCATTTATTTGTCTGCAATCCCCACACCCTGGCATCTCTCGGCTATTATTTTCCTGATGGTGTTGTGATTGAATTTTCATATCTCCAAGTGTATTGGTAAATTGGCTCAAGTGATTTATTGCCTCTTTTGAGAATGGCAATTAGCTATTTCTGCTCCTCCAACTAAATGCAGTTTCTATTTTTTGGTCAAGTTAGTTCAAATTTAAAAACTGATCAACTTAAAAACGGCAAAATCAAAGTGTTCACTATTGTTCTTTTATTGTTTTCATTTTTTTTTTTTTTTTTTTTTTTTTTTGATTTTAGAATTTTCAAGATGGGAACCCCAATTCCAAAGGAACTTTCTCTTCGTCTACTGCTGTTAGTGTAGGTCTTAATGTAGCTTCTGCTTCTCGTTCATTTGTGGTCATCTTAGTATAATCTTTATATGGTTGATTGATATAGCAAATCAATCAGTTGACTGATTGTTCAATCGCTCTGTCAGATTGTTGTTCTTTGGGGAATAAAAAAAATAAAAACGTTTCGACTTGATCAATAGACAACATGTAAAGTATTTTAGCAATTAACAAATAGATAAAAAGAAACAATGAGATCAAAAAATTATGAAAATTATTTGAGTATTGATGTTTTTTTTTTATATTAAATATAAAAATGTTTGTTAAAATGTCCTGTGAAATTGTTTTAGAGAAAATAATTTTTGTGAAAATTTCCTGCTTTTATTTTCTTTGTTGTTGAATTTGATTTTGTCTTAAAAACTCTATTCATAATGGTTCTTAAGTCAATAGACAGCTTGCGTGTATGTTTATCACGCTCAATTGACCCTTACTGACACATAAACACATACTTTTTCATACATATGCCTAGATAAAAGGCAAGTCAGATTTAATGCAACTCACTAAAAGTTGAAGGTGAATTTCTCTGCAGAAAAAAAATGCACAAAAATGAAGGCAATACATTCAAGATTGATTATTTATTGTTCATTGTATACAACATTCCTTTTGATACATGTTTACTTACGTAGAGTTGATGTACATATACAGAATGAATTAAAATTTTTGCAAGCAATGGTGGAAGAAAATTACTCGTTCAAATCAAGACTAAAAGAAATTCACTTCTTGGAAGATTATTAATCTGTTGTACTTAAAAAAAACAAAAAAACTGTGGCTCTGAAAATCAATGAAAGCAAAAATTGAACTTGCATTATTTATTAATAAAATTATTTAATTTTGAAATAGTTTTAAGGTTAAGAAATGTCAAGTTAAGTCAAGTCAGTTACCTGAATTTCTTACTTCTTCCAGAAGATAGCAAATAATTCAGTTTAAAGGTATAAATTTGATAAATTACTCATTGGATCTTTATAGAATTTCAAAATGCACACATGCAAAAAAATCTTTTTGTTGAAATTATGATCGGTTCAAGTCCTACTATTGCTCATATCATTGCCATGTGCTCTTATAGAGATTCATGTAAAGAAAAAAAATCTAGTGCAATTAGGAATTTTTTAGTAAAAAGTAATATTTTTCTTATCTTCAGGAACATGCTCATACATTGTTTATACTTAATGTCTAAAAGATTTTTCTTATATTATTAATTAATTTAGTAAACTTTTTTCTTATTTAATGGATCAAAAAGATTGGGAATGGGATATATCTCATCAAATATTCAAAACACAAATTCTTGTCAATATACTCAGAGCCAGAATTGCTGACCAAATTATTCCCACTTTTTTTTTTTTTTAATTCTGTAATCTACAAAGGAGGCTGTGGAGTACCATGATCGCTTATGTATTGAAGTAATATGGCATAAAACATGAGTCTACATTTATTAGGTGTTTGTGGTGAAATCCATTATTTATTTGCTTATTTTATTTTTTTAAATGATCTGATTGTATTCTTGACATTTTTGTTCACATGGAGTATTTTAAAGCTTTAATTATTCATTAAGTCATCGCTTATGATAAAATCTGACTTGATTTATCCCCCTTTAGATATTAAAATATTTATTTAAAGGGAGGTAACTCTTATTTTTTTAATCGTTGAAATTTCCCGTTTACTATGGATTCAGTCTTTTGTTATTGGACATTTCAATCTGTAATTAATCTTTTTAATTGCATTTTGTGGGATTTTTATGGTTTCCTCGTAATACGGATACAAATCTTACAACAAGTGTGAATAAGTCTACAAAATGTTTTTTTTTTTTTTTTTGTAAAGAAATACATAAGATTGTAGATTATAATTAGTGAACCAATTGAGATACAATTATTTACCTTTTACTGGGAAGTGATACAAACAAAAAAAACATTATCCACTAGATATATTAGGTGACAGTTTTTCTGTCACTAATCATATGTCAAAATTCAACAAGAGGCCTTTGACCAAACCCATTTGAAGTTGGTCCAAATTGGAAATTTCTTTTTATTTCAATTAAGTCAAGTTTCTTAACTCCATACAACTATCTTATGTATTGTCAACATTGTTGATTATTCATCTTGGAGAATTAAAAGCTCTTCTATTACAGCCTGGTAATGCCTATCTTCTTTATAAGCATTTTATAAGCTATATTTCATGATGCTAAAACACCAGTTTATCATTGCCTACTGCCAGATAAAACTTGTTTAAAAAATTCCACTTGATTTTCTTTTATGTCAGAATTGATTTTGAGTCATACATTAGGATTTGTTCACTGTTATTCAAATTATTGAACCTGCAATGTTAATTTGCTGTATTAATGTTAATATTGCTACCATAGTCGTTTCTTAAATTTATCTCTGTACAAGCAGACCTGATGGCTTTTTCAATAAAGCTTACAATTTAGAGTTGTTACACAAAAATGATCACAATTTCTCTGTCTTCAAGGTCATTTTTTTTTTTCATGGGTCCAATGAAATGTCATAACCAGTAGCCATGAGATGCAAGAGATTTTTCTGAATAATGAAATATTCAGACACTGCATAACAACTTCAGAAATGTAAAAGTTGAAATTTTCCTGTGAGATTTTATTTACATTCAGTTTAAGAGAGGATGAACTGATTCCAAATTAAGGCATATCAATGGTAAACTCTATCTCCTTTCTGTGGCAACTCCTGCAGCCAAAAATTCACTTCATTTCAGTTATTCAACCAAAATTTTCAATTGATTCTCATATTTAAAATTATTAGATTTATGTCATTGTTTTTAATTTTCAAAATAAAATTAAGTAGAAATTTGAATGAATATAGTGAAGCATTTCAAATAGAAACTGAGATCAGCATTTGATCTTTATTATTAACATTTTTCTTTCGTTTTTTTTTTTTTTTTTAATGTCATCTCAAGCAAGGTGATAATGCTACTGGGAGTGAAAGAGAACAAAACTTTAGGAGAAGGAACCAGAAACCCAATACTAAACAGGAAACAAAAAATAAACTCTGCTCCTGTTCAAAAGACAAGGAAATGATTTGAACTAGGCAGTTCTATTAAATTTGTGTCTAAATTTGATAGACCAATTGCCAACTAAAGCTAGCAATCCCTAAAAGATAAACTAATTCCAAATCAGAAGTACGTTCTTAAGGTATATCAGTGATAAATTTTAGCTCCTTTCTGGCAACTTCTGCAGCCAAAAGGTCCACTGGGTTGTGATGTCTCATCATGCCACCGGACTCATGGAAGCTGAGAGAATTGAAAATATTCAAACAGGTTGCTTCTTTTTTGTACAACTAGACATCATTGAAATGCTAAACAGTTAAGGGAATTTATTTGCTTTATTTTCTAAACATTTATTACAGAAAGAAAATACTCATTTCAAATGTCTATATCCTGCCATCTGTAAAAATTTTAAATTGCCCACTGGAATTAAAATTTTCTTTGAACTTTTTAGGTAATGGAAATGTATATCTTCAACTTGGAGGAGACAAATCTGACATTATTTAACTATTCAGTTATTTATATTTGTTTTTCCAGTATTGTCTTACCACAATTAGAACCAAACAATAAAAAAAGAGAAATTGTCCACTAGAAACATTTAACTATTCTATAAAATACAATGTGACTTACCTCCCTTTCCACTATTGATCTTTACAAAATGCTTGAATAAATACACAATGGTGATTATTATATAGTGTTGTTTGATCATGCAGCTTGATCTCCCTTTCTATTCTGTTATGTTAAAAGGAACCATTCCTCTTTCTATCACTAATCAAATATCTCAGTAGTAAATTGGGGAGATTTATTTATTTCATGTTAATATTCTATGGGTGTTTTTATTCTAATAATTTAAAACCAGATTTTCTTTCTTACATGTGACAATAATCATCTTGATAAAGATCCTAGATTATCCATGCAGAAAATGTAATCAGTTGCAAAATGACTGTTGTCACTCTGTTGAATGTATGAGTAAATTAGTTAATAGTGCCAGTACTTCATTCATTTTAAAATT